CACTTTGTTGGAGAAGAGAGGAGAAGCTCTGGAGAATGAGAGGTAAAGGGAGACGAAAGTGGATCTCATTCATCCCTTGTGGAGTCTGTATTAGAAACTGAAAATGCAGAGATTAATAAGCCAGATAGAAAAGTTCAAAATGAAAAATCAGGGACTCCAGAAGATCCAGAGTGCAAGGAAGTGGAGATGGATGATTGGCTGTTTGAATTTGCTCAGCTTTTCCGCACCCATGTGGGTATTGATCCAGATGCTCACATTGACTTGCATGAGCTCGGGATGGAGCACTGTTCAGAGGCGCTTGAGGAGACAGTTACAAGTGAAGAAGCTCAGAACCTTTTTGACAAGGCAGCTTCAAAGTTCCAGGAGGTGGCTGCTTTGGCTTTTTTCAACTGGGGAAATGTTCATATGTGTGCTGCAAGGAAACGGATTCCCTTGGATGAGTCTGCTGGTAAAGATGTAGTGGCAGCGCAGCTTCAGGTCGCTTATGACTGGGTTAAAGAAAAATACTCCTTAGCCAGAGAAAAGTATGAGCAGGCACTCCTGATCAAGCCTGACTTTTATGAGGGTTTGCTGGCTCTAGGGCAGCAGCAATTTGAAATGGCCAAGCTTCATTGGTCTTTTGCACTTGCTAAGAAGATTGATCTCTCAGGGTGGGATCCAACAGAGACACTTCAACTTTTTGCCAGTGCAGAAGAGAAGATGAAAGCTGCAACAGAGATGTGGGAAAAGCTAGAGCAGCAAAGAATAAATGATCTTAAAGATCCAAATGCGAAGAAAGAAGAGTCATTGAAGAGAAGGAAGAAACAAGGAAATGCTGCTGAAGGTGAGTCTTCTGGAACTGGTGGTGGTCAGGGTGAGATTTCACCTGATGAAGCAGCAGAACAAGCAGCCGTAATGAGATCTCAAATACATCTCTTCTGGGGTAATATGCTTTTTGAACAATCCCAAGTTGAATGCAAATTGGGGCTGGATGGGTGGGAGAAAAACCTTGATGGTGCAGTTGAACGCTTCAAGCTTGCTGGAGCTTCTGAGGGTGATATCTCAATGGTTCTGAAAAATCATTGCTCTAAAGAAACTGCAGCAAAAGGGGATAAGCAAAAAGTCGAGAATTTGAATGTTAATGTAGCTGTTGAAGCAGGTATCAAAGATGAGGTTAATCAAGATTAGCGAGTTAAATGGCAGTACTTTTGTTGTGGATGTAATCTAGAAATTTTGTGCTGAAATGAAGACAACAATTGTGGAAACTCTATTCTGGAAGTGGAGATTTGGGTTCCGACATTATGCAGCGGTTTACTCAAAAAGATTTTGAATTAATTCTAAGGTCTGTGTCAACCTTCAAGGTGACAATCTTTTTACACATTGTTTGGAATATGATGACTTTTAATTTTCAAGAGCTTAGGTTCTTATTTTTGGCTTTAACATCAAAATCTTTGATGGTGTTTGGTCTATAATGAGAATTCCTTTTTTGTTATGTTTGCTTTTAGTGACTTTTTTCTTTGACCAATTTTTTAAATTCCATATTGCATTCTGCTTTAAGGGTCTGTTGGGGAGGGAGAAGCTAAAGAAAGTGAGGGTAGGGAACATTATTTATTTGTCTATTGCAACAAAGTAATTACTCTGGTAGGAAGCGGCTGAATCCTGTAATCGCATTTTTTTTTATGGTGCCTTGTGGTGTATGATCTTTGGCCAATGGTTTATGGTTTATTAGTGATTAACTGGGTTATTACAGGTTCATTGTGAGAGGGGCTTTGGGCTTTGGGGG